TGTAGTTGAAGGGCGACTGATGTTAATGCTTATGCTGAACCTGATAAAACTACAGCATGCACTCGGTGCATCTATTCCAAATTGTGTGCTTTACAGTAAACACATCGTCTAGAAGTACATGTCTGCGATTCGCACGGGTCACACCATGTACGTTTTTATTTTCCCTCCAGTTTTACGAACAGTTTTGTTTTACAAGATTTAAAGAGCGGACTGTAAAACAAGTGCAATTTGAGCATGTAAACACTGGATGTTTCTTTTCCTGGCTGTGGGGATGAATTCGGATGGTGCGGAGTAAAAAGATATGAAAATAAACCTTTCAAAACTCAGGTCATGCAAAACAAAACCTACAAGGTACGTACAAAATAATGAATGCACCAGCAAAAGTTCTTCTAACAGTGAGGAGTCTGTCAGCCTTGTTCTGGTGTTTGGTGGATGAAATTTTCTTGTGCGTTCGTGGTCTGTTCTTTTATTAGGGGCTCAGTTTTGGGCTAACATGCATTGCTGTTATCTGGGAGGGGTGTGATCATAGATGAAATGCCCTAACAGAAGACTGGAGTCAACAAAAAATGTCATGATTCATAACTTTTAGCATAAAGGTCCTGGCTTGTAATCATACCATGACAATACTGTGCTTGAGTTACTCAAACAAACCAAGGTGCATTAGTGGAACTACGTTAGTATTCAGAGGGCAATTCCCTCACATTGCTAAACGTATTTACTCCCAGGAGCTACACCGCACAGACATAAACTTCTATTGTTAGCAAGTGAGCAGCTGCACTTGGGCATTTGGCCAAGTGCCTTGCTCAAGGGCACATGTGACTGTCTTATTGAGGAGCAGGAAAGAACATCCCACTCGCCTTCTTAAGGCCATCCTGCTCCCCTAGCCTCTATAAGCCAGCTAGCCTATCATGCCCTTAATATTTTTTTCATAGACTCCCGGACAATTGGGTGACTTGTTGATGTCTGAGGTAAACACTGCAGGTATACTGTGCTGAAATCTAACCCAACTTTTAAATTCGGGCATATTTAATGGGAAAGCCCACCTAGAGAATTTCATTCAAGATGGCACCGTCCCGTTCGCTGACAGTGAACCAAGGCCTGCTTCAATTTCCAGGAAATCATTAGCAGCGCTAGCCTCGTTCTCGATGGAGCAGGTGAACCAATACAAGCTCAGAGCCACCAGAAACTCCTTCACTGTGAGAGGACTTTGCATTGATTTCTCCATTATTCTGTTCACACCATGTATTTCTTGTGTTTCATTTTTTAGGTTTCGTTTGCAGAAGTATGCCAATGCTAGAGAAGCGGTCCATGCCATTAGCAGTGAGGCTAGCTGGTATTACGAACTGCCATGTTTTTGTTCATGCATTAAGAACTATTAAGTGAAAGATATCATATTTACAGTACAATTCACATGTAATTACACATATACACTAGAGGCAAGAAAATTCACATTGAAATCAGTTCAACACTTTTTTTTTCTCCTCCTCTACTCCTCAAACATATGTGTCAAAAGGAATGTATCTTCTCTCTTGTATAAGCAAATATCCTAAAGTAAAAGCATAGAAAAGAAGATCCTCACAGCTTTTGGGATGGATGTGCTGATTTCATGTCCAGAAAGCAGGTTAAACATGTTCTGAGTGAGATGAGTGCTGAGTAGATTTTGCGAGCATGCAAGGGCTGCTAAGGTTTCTCCTCTGTAAGCGTTCAGAGTTTATTAAAGATATGCATCAAATATCTCTCAAAAGAAGATAACACCTGAATAGGCATGTTTGTATTCATTTCTGGGAATTATCTGACCTGAATAAGAATCTAACAGTTAGTTTTTGTTACAAAATGTAAGGTCAAGTTGAGACCAAAGAGTAGGAAAAGGCTTCTCTCTGGTTAAACACGTTCTATTGATTTACTTGGAATAACACTTATATTGTTTACTTAGGTCCCCTATTTTTTTTTCCAACAATATTTGCTTGCACTGGAAAAAAGGGTATCCTCACACCTTCAATAAAGATCCATCATATTGCCTTTGAACAGTTTGACAAGCTGATAGTGTGATCCCCCGGATGAAATGATGCAAAGAAAACACTTTGTAAAGGGCATTATTGGAATGAACTTGCATTCCCTCAACTAACTATTACCGCCTTTCATATTTTTATTTCTTAAGGTCAAGTTAACCTGAAACATGAGTGTACCCTTGAACCAACCATGGGAGTTATATACTCTGCGGGGAACACAATAAGGATCTGCTGTTTATCTTATTGCAAAAACCAATTGGCAAATCTATGTAGTAATTGCATCATTTCAAATGAGAAGTTAGAATTGCAGCATGCAGATCTTAGGAATGTGTCTTGTAAGTTAAAGGGGAAATTTGCCAATTCGCCACACCAATTTCCAGTCTGCTTTACAGGTTTAGGAAAAACTACTGTATATGTGAGGGGAAAGTAGCCTTTTGTGGCTCCAGAGAGTTTTGTGTTGTCGAATAAATTGGCTCAAGTGAAGTCACTTGAGTAAGCTTGGTCTGAAGACGAGAAATTTGAGGATTAAACAAATCTGAGGGGGCGTGGAGTAAGAAAGACGTGAGCTGAGCAGGGCGCTCCTCACTTCTCCTTAAGGCTAGCGCCTCGAGGCTACATTAGCCGCTACTAGCATGTGGAAACAACTGATGCTACTGTTTTCAACTTCATTGCATTATAATATTGCCTCACTTCCATTTGGCAACTTTTAAAGAATTTGTGCACATATGCTGCAATTTCGGCCTTTACTCTTACCACAGTGTAATACTCAATATGTACTCTTTATATAACACAATATAAACTGCTAATTTAGTCCATTGCGGCACAGCCTTCTCATAAATAACAATAAATTAACTCTCTTCACATTTAAGACTCATCACTATGTTCTAATCCTTTGGACCTCACAGTTGACTGGAGAGACAAACAACAGATTTTTCAGCTGCAGACAGAAACAAAACACTCAGCTCAGTATGTTACCCTCGTCCTCATCATCCTCCATATTTTTGTGGATTACTGGATACTTAAAGGGGATCTTTTTTTTCTTTCTCTTTTCACGTTCAGTACAATGACAACAATATCTCAAATTCAAACAAATATAAAACCCAGACTGGAATCACAGCTCAGGCCACGTCACTGTACAAACGTCACTCTGACTCACGGAGACAAATTGCTTTCTGATCAGTATTCCTTTCTGCAGACCGTATGCACACTGCGCTCCAGAGGGGAGTGGATATTTCTCGGGATAAATGACTCTGCAGCCATTCCATCTTCCTCTTGTCCCTGTGTGTTTGTGTCTGTATGAACATTTCGCTCTCTTTTTCCCATTTGTATTTCTCAGGTACACTGCAGCGTATTCTAATCAGCCAGTCACTTTTTTTGTTTTTGTGTGCTACGCGACCCAACATTAGATTTGTCTGATCTGCACTTCTGCTGAAGCTAAACAGTCTTTGGAGGATATTCAAATGCATTTTCCCCCTACAATATCCACAGTTTACTGCCTCATAAACTACTTCTCTGACCTCATCTAAATGCAGGCTTCTTACTACTTAAGGCATGTTAGATTAAGGACTTTTTATCCAGATTTATGAAACGGTAATGTGAGAGTCATTTGGTAAATTATTACAAAAGAAAAATGACGACCACGATTTAATAAAGCAATGTCCGAAATAAAGAATTTATAACGTTTCCTATGTTTTAGCATTTTTAAGACTTTTGAAAGATTGATTTTGGACATTTTAATACCAATAAAGAATTTATTTAAAGATGATTGAGCTTAGCTAATTAAAGTAACATTAAGGATTCACAGGAACAATCTAATTTCCTTCACTTTTCGTTGGTGGCTGGTTTCCAAAACCATAAAACATGTGGTTAAAAAATAAATAAAAATAAAGGTCCTATAGGATTTTTTTTGTTCTGTTGCAAATGACCCTGAGCACTGGAAATGCAGTGTGTGCTTTTATGTGTTTGAGAAAGAAACCATATGATTATAGGCCTTTTGGTTGTTATTTCAGTTCATGGCTATTAATCATATGTTCTCCCCGAGAATCACCGCATCATTCCCGATGAGGTTGATGCTTCTGATCCTCGGGGGTTCGGAACATATTTGTGATGGCACTGATCGAGATTGAAATGTTGGATCCTTCTCCTCATACATATTCTGCCCGGGTTGCCCATCACTATCGCAAATAAATAATCTTGCCTTCACGAACTGCGACTCCAACACGAATGCAAAACAAACGAATAACAAAGAAATACTGAATGACAACTGGTCAAACTGCGGGCTGATATGTTGACTCTTTTTTTTTTAAATATACAGGTCCTTACATCTTCGCTGTGGAACCATTTTCCAAAGGAACCGCAAAAGCAATCCTCCCATTTCCTTTTTAGCAAACACAAAGCAGGATATGACGTCGATGGACTCTGCTTCTAAAGGGCACGAGAACCAGTCAATAGGAGGAAATAAACAGCACACCTTCATGAGAATACCGAATGATTAAAATGTATAGAATATTTCTTCTTCACACAATCAAAATGAGTAATGCATACCTTTGACTCTTTTATCTTATAATGCCCTAGCTCTAGAACATGTTCCGACACTCTCTGAAATCACAGTATTTTTCAAGACAAAATCATATCTACAATAATCAGCACTTGTTTTCAACCATAATGAAAAAGACCCGCCCCCTCCCGACACCCAAAAGACGTGATAAAAATAACATGAGAAGAGAAAGGAACACAAGTTTGCGTTGACTCTGGGGGGGTGGGGGAACGCGGCGGTCGGTCATCCCATCTCTGGAGCCCGTTAGGCCGGATGTCTGATAAAGAGAACGATACCACTTCAAAAAACCCAAGGAACAACACATAATCCAAACAAGGTTGCTGTACATAGTAGAACCGGAGATTTTCCGTGCATGTTATCCATGGGCGATGGGTGGGGTCGTGTAGGGTAGGGGTGGTGTGGAGGGCGGGGTCAGGGGGGGTTCAAGGCTCACTTGCCCAGCTGATGCCTGAAACAGACGAGCCACCACTGATCTCATGAGCTGCAGTCGAGGATTTCTGATTACAATAAGTATCAATAAAAAGTCAATGGGACTCTGAGACATCTTTCCCCTCTCAAGAGTTTCACTTTCTCTTTTTTCGTGTGGTTATTGTTGGTTGTTTTTTTTAGCAAAAATATCATGCAGTCTTTAGTTCCAAAAACCCCGGGTGGGATCTCGTGTTTGTGTGTTTGTTTGTTTCTTCCGCGAGCAAAAAGAAACTCAAAGCCTTGAAATTCTTCTCTCACAATTACTCTTAAACATTCAAGTCATCCTATTAATACTTTGTACAGCAGAAAGGTCCTTCGGATTTCACACATGTATATATAAATATAATATATATAAATATGCATATACATATGTTCAACTTGTATATGTGTATACATATTTTGGAACTGTATCAAAGCCAATTTAATGTGCTCTCAAAATATGGCCCATGATTCCTAGTGGGATGCACGTCAATTCACATAGTACAACCAGTAGATTAGGTTGAAAAATCCAAAGGTGATAGGGAAAATGACCCGGGACCACTTGTCAATGGTGCTAACATCTGACAGGTTTGGGATTTTCAACTTGAGCTTGGAGGATCGTCGTCGTAGCCGGCAGTTGGCCCGGTTACGCATGGCGCTCCGGTCCAGCGAGTGGTGGCTGAAGCCGTCTCGGGGGGTCATGGGCTTCCTGAATTGGACCCCGGAGCTGTCGAAGGACATGACGGAGTTCCGAGAGTCACTGACGCTGCTCCCCACGTCCGAAGGCATCACTTCGTTGTTCATCTCCAGCGTGGTGAGGAGGATGTTTCCATAAGCATCCACCTGCCAGGACACAGGAAATAGAGTCAGCGAGGGGAAGTGTCGAGCAGTAGCCCCCCAAAACCCCCCTTAATAATTAATTTAATTTAGCTGTCAAAATACAGGGATGGTATGGACTTTTTGCATGCCACAGAAATAGTTAGCAAATACTTTATCCATTAGTGACTTTTCACAACAAAGTGACATTCTGACTTTACTGTTAGGGCTGGACTACAGCTGATATGATTTCTAAATACATGTACCCCAACTTTTCTTTGTTCCTCGAGATACAGATTTCTTCGCTGTGTAAATGACCTGAAGGTGTTGGTTTGATACGACGCGGAAATGGAGTCCTTGCAATGTGAAAGAAAAAATGAAGAGAACATTAAAAAAGGCTATAAAATTCCGGCAAAGAAGCACATATTTCTCAAAATTACACTTTGCATATAGACATAAAGTTTACAGTAAACAACTTTCAATAAGCATGGGCTTCATTCAGTCTGACAATTTCAGCATCTGCCATATTAAAATCCAATGCTCTTTCTGTGTTTTTTTTAGATTTTAGTTTTAAATGTTAACATACAAGGTAGTAGAATGAATGAAGCCCACAGCTATACAGAGACAACAACCTCAGTGGGAATGTTTACACCACTGTCGAGCTAGATGAATAGCTATCTCAATGAAAAGGGCTATGCTGGATAAAAGCAGTCAGTGCTTGAGGTATAAAGCAATGGATGATGGTTGGTGAATACATATTGGGCTGTGGTGGCATCAGTATGCTTCTGGAAGATTACTTCAGGGAATGCTGCATATGTGTCTGAGGATTAAATGCCTGGGAAACTTATGAGCAGAACACAGCTGTTTTGTACTTGAACCCTGACTGACACGGAGAGAAAGCAGGAGATGAAGATTCAAACCTGTTCCCTCAGGCGCTTCTCTTCGTATCTTGTGCGCTCGTTGTTGGCTTTGTTCAGCCTCTCGTTGATTTTCTTCTGTTGCGCAGGGCCCCGGCCAAAGAACACGTAATTTACAAAGGCATATTCAAGCAGGGCCAGGAACACAAACACAAAACAGCCCATGAGGTAGACGTCGATGGCTTTCACATACGGAATCTTTGGGAGAGTCTCCCTAAGGTGGGTGTTAATTGTTGTCATGGTAAGCACCGTTGTCACACCTGAGCACAGCAGCACACACAAAGACAGAGAGGTGAGCGTCACACACTGGATCAGCATTTAGACACTTTGTAATGACATCATGTGACCAGCGTTACTGCAACTCGTACAGTGAGAGGGTTTCAGATTAGGGGTGGCAAGATACACTGTTATAGACGATGACTGTTAGAATTATACATTTAAATATAGATATTTTGTTGATAAAACACATACAATTACAACGTGCACTTAATTCCTGTTCTGTTCCTGCTTTATCTCCCCCCACTACACACATGAGTGTTATTCATTTGATATTAAAGAGACAACATGAAAAATAAAGTTAGGTAGATATTTGACTTGATCTTTAAATATTGCTAAAATGTCAGTTATTGTGAATTATTTTGGTCAAAATAAACATGACCAACATTCTGTGGCTGGTAAGAAGCAGTTCATTGTAACTACTGTCTCATCTAAAACATCATATTTTGTGAGACGATGTTACGTTTTGGATGTGAAGTCTAAATCCAGTGTAAATACAGTGCATTAAAAAGGTAAAATATTTAGATTATAAGAAGTAAAAATGTGCAAAGAATTGGATACTCAAGTGAAACTTGCAAAAATTGCAATTTTAGGAAACGTTGTGATATTTGCCTTTGCAGACCATTTACATGAACAAAAAACCTATATAACACACTACAGAAAATGTCTGTAATGTCAAGAACATCACAAAAGCTGGGATAGTGTCATTACGTTTCGTTAGATCATGAGACGTTCTGTGTTCTGCTTTAATTAGGACACATTTGTTTTATTATGAGTAAGCATGTCTGTCTGGCTCACTGATATACTGCTGTAAGTGCTCTCAATATTACTCATCAGTCCATATTTAGACATCAGGACGTCATTATTCCTGCAGTCCGTGTTTAAACAGCACTAGTTCATTTGAACAAAGTTCCACGTGCCAGTAAGTGCAGACAATGTGCACAACAATGTAGAACATGTGACGGCCCCATGCTCTTCGTTGCTGTTATATCACTGGGTTTAACAGTTGGGACTTTAATAATGCAGCGTGGCTGTGTCTTACCCAGGGCCACCCGAGCTGCAGAGGCATCATAATTGATCCAGAAGGAGACCCAGGAGAGGATGGTGATCAAGATTGAGGGCATGTACGTCTGCAGGATGAAATATCCAATGTTCCTCTTAATCCTGAAACTCAGCGAGAGCCTCGGGTATGAACCTGTAAGGAGAAAGGATGGAGGTAGAGTTTGGAAAAAAGGGCAGGGACATAGTGAAATCATTGACAAAAAGGGGAGAATAGAGAAGTGGGGGGAGAGGTCGCTGGCACAACTTAGGAGTTCCAAAGTCTGCACTTTGACAACGCGCAGGGTAGTCATTTCTCCATTTGTTCAGATGGAGCACTTAATTTCCCCAAAGCGACGGATTCCTTTCCAGGGACAAGTTCGATTCCAATTAAACATGGCAGAAAGTCGCAAACGAGGCAGATTTTTCTGCAACCCCCTATCTCAGCAGGCAGCTCAGCATCCCTCTGAGAATTGCCACAGAGCGCTGCTCGGCCTTCCTTTCGCACTTTCTCCACCCTCCAAACATTAACAAAAGGGCATTTTAGAGGCGCATAATTGCAACGCATGCCTTTACACTAAGAAAAGGAAGGAAAATATACAGTAGGTGGTAACTCATTCCAGTGAACAGGAAGAATATCAGCAGCTAGCGCCAAGACGATAATTGCTCTTTTGACTGCACTTTAATTTAAACACGCTGAACAATACAACGCTGAGGCAAACACCAATATAAACATCAAGGCAGGCTCCATCTGCTTCAGCTCTAACTACATATTTACGAGGCTGGAAACAATACAAATTGCTCTAAATATAGTTAAATTCCCTTCTTTGTATTCCATTTACACTTTTATTTCCAATATGTCACAGACGGAAAAAAAAGTTCTCAGATAAGCGTGATGGTTTTAATCTAAAAGGCGATTTGCTGTGGGGAACGCACAATGATGAATGACCTCATCATCTCCAGGTTCCTGTAAATCTTTTAATGAATCAATACCTTAGCATACATACTTCATCAAACCTGAGACAAGTGGCTTAGATCACCCAAGTACATCCAAGATTAATGGAGGCGACAAATGTTCACGGGTTTCATTAAAGTCAAACGTGAGGGTAACACTTGGACTTGGACGATTTGGTGGAACTGAAATGAGATTACTGACACATTCACACAGAGATGTTTATTGGTTCAATACAGCATTGAACTGCAATGCTGTATTGAACCAACAAACACAAACTAACTGTATCACTATAACATGATGATGATGGTGATAAAGAATGCATCTAACGTTCCGCTGTTCATTATAATACAAAAACAGCGCATTAAACAAACCATCATGCTCTTACTTTGAAATCATGCGGAAATGTCGTCATCAGCAGGCCATCACGTGGTTTCCGAAAATAACCGAGTGACACGAGTAGATTTTAGCCGAGACCATCGGAAAGTTTGTCTCAAAACTCTGTGTGTGTAAAAAGACAATCCATGCAGTGGCGGAGCTGGGGGGTGGCTGGGAGTGGCCATGGCCACCCCCAGCTGAATCCTGGCCACCCTATTGGCCACCCCAAACACCCTCACCACGGGGGCCCAAACAATTTTAGAACATTAAGAAAAAAATGTTTAAGTAACCTGTCATCATTCTTCAAGAATTAACATTAATAGGTCGTTATATTGATAATGTACTCACTAAACTTACAATTCATTAACTTATTTTCTTCCAAAAGTTAATTATCCAAAGCCTCTGAACACCCCCCTCCAAAAATGCAGCACTGCCGGCACTTTCTAGCAGAGAGTGAGAGCATGTTAGGAGCAGGGATGCTAGTACTTACGTGTGAACCATGTCTCAACGACTAACAAAGTCAGGCTTTCAAAAGAGAAAAGAAAGGAGAGAAAGACAAGAGAGAGGGACTAAAGGGCGACAGTATGTCACCCAGTTTTTCAAAGAAAAGGTGGGTGCAGTCTATGAGTGGTGGAAATGTGTCTGTTAGCTACGCGTAGTCTATTGTAAATAATAATTTCTTTGTTTCTTTTTTTACGAAGCTGACATTAAGTACTCTTAATATCTATACAGGTTTTTAATTTCACTCCTCTTTTAGCTGACATTTAGTAAATGCAGGTACATTTTTAGCAGCGATTCATACTAAATCAGTTGTCCCTCCCCCTGGTGCCAGGACCAACAGATCCATCTCTAGACTTAGCAGCCCTGTCCCCCCATAAGTGTTATATTTTCACAGCTCAGTGTCAGTAAATATTGTGCAGTTAGTATTGGACTACAAGATAGATGCAAGCCTGTACAGGTAGAGTTATTTAAAGCATAAATGAGTGGGTTGGGTTCTGGAGGTGTGGTTACAGCAATTGTGCTTGGTTGGCGTGGCCTGGGCCTGGTGGTGGGGCCCAATGTGATATATTTTCATGGGGCCCAAAATCCCTGGCGTGTATGGCCAGAGGGCAGGACCTATAAACACATTTACTACCCAATAGCATTGTGAGGCTGAACAAAAGGACATTTTGACTATGTAAATGTAGTCTTTTAAAAAAACAAAACATTTACTGACTTTTTTAGGATAGCTTCAAGTAATGTTGTAAAATTAGAACCGGGTGCCTTACAGGGTTAAGGCTATTGTTTATTGTTATTTACTTTAAGATGTTTATTCTTAACATATCATTTAATTTAAAAACTCTTATTTAAATGATGTGTGTGTGTCTCTGTATTCCTGATGATACACTGAGAGAATGAGCTCATGTTTGTCATGTCTGCTGATCATCATAAGCTAAACAGTCTGTATTTGCATTACATTTGTATAATGTAAGCTTTGTTGATACTTTGCCTGTGGGAATACGAAAAAAATAGTTAGATATACTGATTATTATTTGATCTATTCCACCACTTAATCCCAAATAATGTAGAGTTGTGTTGTAGGTGCCTTAAATAACCCCTTATTTTCTAGTGTGATGTATTTTTATGTTCATATAATAGTGATTTCAATGCCACCCCAAAATGATCACTGGTTCCATCCTGGCCACCCCACTGAAAATGTCCTGACTCCGCCACTGGATCCACGAGCAGAGATTTGAGATCCACAAGCACATTTTTTGTGTACAAATACAAAATGGATTCAGAAATGCCTGATCTAAAGTTGTAATGTTTTTATTTGTGAAAATATTTTGCGTATTTGCAGGTCAGTTTTACATTTGCAAATGTATTTGTGAGTTTGCAAATCTTTTAAATGCATTTGTGGATGGTGTTTTACATTTACAAATCACATATTTACACACAAATTATTTTTCCGTTCACACAAATGATTATGAGACATATCTAAGCCCATAAATGTAACATGATTACGTTCTGTAACTTTTGGATTAGTTTACCAAATGAAGAGGAGAGAAGAGAAGACGTTTTTCGCCATTTTCTTGCATTTAAAGCAGAAAAACATAAACAAACATTATAAATGAAGCCTTCCAGCTGTGAGAATCCATCATCATCCAAGGACTGGATTCATAAACAGCCCTGTTTTCTACATTGAGTTTGTTTATAATTAATAATGGCTATCAATAATATAATTTCTTTTGTATTTCCTTACAATTTCATTTAATTTGTATTGAAATGTTTCATTTAAATATTTCAATGACACTTATATTGAGATTTTTTATTCTTCACAAGTGTCATTCATATCATATAAAGAATGTTTCGTTTCATTAGAGACTTAATTTAATTTATAGGGTATTTCTTTTAGACAGAAAAAAGTTTAAGAAGCTTCTGCTCAATTGATAATATTTGGCGAGAAAAATATAACCATTACATTATTTGACGGTATGTCTGAAGTATGCAGTGCAAGGTGCAATATTGCAGGTAGAATGTCACTAGGACATATCTACAGTATTTACTGTGTGTTATTGTTGGGGAAATGCATGCGTCACACATAAAAAGAAATAGGCAACAGAGTATTTAACTGAAGGTCTGATTCCAATTGAATCACTGAAGATGAAATATGCCAGAGTAAATGACTGTAGTTAGAAATAAGTGCACATAAGAAAGCTGAGATGACCTCCTACAATCTGTTATGCATCGAAAAAGGAAATGAGTTCCTGCACGACTCACATATAATTATACTTCCTGTGGGGACAGTGACGTGTTTACGGATGTGCTCACGCAGAACTCGCAGCAGTTCCAGAGGTGTTTAGAGACAATGTAGCAATCATTTGGTGAAGGCGGTTGACACCTGCAGCCCAATTAGAAGCATGTTTGTCCCCTCACCTGTAGTGAACCGGACCTCCCTGGACACCAAGCGGAGCTCCACAATGGAGAACTGGGGTAACTCCAACTTGTCAACGCCCGTCACAGCTGTGTCCCCTCCCTGCCAGAAGAATACGATGTCATCTGTGGTGTATCCGTCTGTGTTAAGTAAAGGGCAAAATCAGGAGGGGAGAAGAGAGGGGGGAAGAGAGATAAAGACGTTTCTATTTAAAGTCTGTTAAACAATAACGACTAAAAGTACACATTTTCTACTTGTATATTTCTATGTATGTTCTTACAGTGACTCAGTTGTGGTATCTTAATCCCAAATTAACCCCAAACCAGAATATATAGGTATTACAAAAGTATACCCTCTATTAAAGGACTCAATAAAATATATTTTTTTCTACCCATTTTCTTTTATTTTGGACAAGAGCAATGAAAAACACATAAGATATGCATACAAATGGGCCAACAGCACATATTGTGAGCTATAGTTTTTAAAAAAAAAATACGACGGAGCATTAGGGCCACACTTAGAAAAAAAAAACAGAGAGATTTCGAGAATAAAGTCGTAATAATACGAGAATAAAGTCATAATTACGAGATTAAAGTCGTGGTTTCATAAGTGACTTGAGAAGGAGACAACAGCAACGTCCTGCAATAAAATGAGGAATGTGGAGCATCTTGTGAAGCAGTACTTTAGTTTAGGTTTCTCAAATAACTAAATACTTAATCTTTTGGCACATCAGCATCAGATTATCATAAGTATTAGAACTTTGAAAAGGTTGTGCAAGAAACAATGTCTATTATTTCGAAGAAAGAACCAAACGGACTTGGAGGAGATTGTCTCTTTTCTGCAGGGGGAAATGGCTGGTTCTGTCCGACTACAACGCTATCGTTGGTTACATCTACGAGCTGTTCAAAGGGGATTTGTTGTTTCACAAGAAACGATGAGACTTTTAATCAAGGCTTTGGATCCAGAAGGAGTCGAAGGATAGCCTTGTTGTGGAATCGGAATGAGCTCCCCATTGAAATCAGGACAGCAGATAGCTTACACATCTTCCGGGGCAGACTGAAAACTCATCTCTTTCGACTCAACTTCGAGCGATAGAATTATTAAGAAAAGCACTTATATACTAATAAAGGACTGGCTTATCTAAAGCCAGCTGAGTAGCACTTGAAATGTTTTAGCTCTGAAACATGGTGTACTTATATGATTCTGTTTTCTTCAAGTTTGTATCTTCTTGGTCGAATGCACTTATTGTAAGTCGCTTTGGATAAAAGCATCAGCTAAATGCAATGTAATGTAGTCGTCCAGAACCAGCCATTTCCTCTTGCAGAAAGGAAACAATCTTCTCCAAGCCCGCTTCTCAAGTCACTTATGAAACTACGACTTTAATCTCGTAATTATTACTTTATTCTCGTAACTA